ATCCCAAAACAAAGGGAAAAGTTTCTAACAAAGTCCTACCCAACAAGATCTGATCTGCTGGCTGCAGCCACACTCTTGTCTTGACATGCCATGGAACATTTCTGAGCATTAACAGACACAGCACTCCCCTGCTCATCATTGCCTTAATACTAACTTTTCTTTTGGTCATTTCCAAGTAGTAAAGAGAATCCAGACTGTTTTAAGAAATCATAATCCTAAGTTTCTTAGTCAACTTTCCCCCTTTATTCTTTAAATCCATAATCTGACAAACAGAACAGACCCTCCATACACTTCTTTTACTCACATATCATCATTAAACAATTGCACACTTAGGTTTTTCTAATGTTTAAATTTGGTTTTGGCCATGTGGGATGTGGCATGTGCAAAAGCAGTGGCGCGTAGTAGACAATATGATTTTGGCATGGACTTTGATGAGCAGATCTCAGAATGTGTGGGGAGTTGGAAAAGAAGGGAATGTGTCATGATTTAGTTTGGTTTGTGAAATTTTGTGGGGGTGGGGTACCCCTCACATTCAACCCTTTATGGGTGAAGAAGGGACCATATAATACTTACCCTAATGAAAGACAGCGCCCCTTCCCTCCTTCCCACCAAAATTATGCTAGTCTATGTACATACATATGCTTAATTAGTAAAAGTGGGAAAATTAAAGCTCCAATAGATAAAAAGTAATTTAGGGACAGCACCGACCCCATCAAAATTTTAATATTACCACCATGATTAAGTAAAGCATCTGTTTGCATCTCAACCTTTTAATTGCTTCAATTAGAATTTTAGAACAAATTAAGAAAACAAGTACTAGATGTATTGAAAAACAATATATATTTAAGGACAATGATTGAAACACTCTTTAATTCAACACACTCAATAATATATTTCATAAAAATTATTATTTTTAAATTTAAATTAAATGTGAGAAAACTTAAAAATATAGAATTTAATGGTTAAAGTGATGATTGTTGAAGGATATGTTAAATTAGAAGATGTACCAATCATTTTTTTATATTTAAATATATATTTTGGATCTCTCCTTTTTTAAAGAAATGTTAAGGGTGGTGTCTAAGACTCATTACATATAAGCACAGCAATATTCTTCTTCCACATTCAAAGTTTGTTATTGTTCTAAAATCATTACACTGGAATGAACTAAGTATCTTATATTGTATAAACCCTCAACGAAAAAGATTGGTACTAAACTAAAAGTTGAGCATGGTCTTTGGCCATCAAAGCCAATTAGACTTCATTGACCTAAATTGTTTGATTGATAAAATATAAAACAAGAACTGAGAATGTGATTAATTTATGTCGATAATTATATGACAACTAGTACATTTTTTTTTTTTCCCTCTGTGGGTCTTGAAAGTTGGGATTTTTGAAAACATTGATGTGAATGGCCAACAAATCCAAGTGAATTAAACTGTCATTTACTTAATGTACCCAAGTACCCAAATGAATGAAATATATAAATTTTTTTGTGAAATGGAAGCACAAGACATGGAATTGAGTTAACTTGGTCTTGATTCTCTTGATAAATGGAGCAACATGAAATTTCAATTACCCATTACTACTTTAACCATCTTCATCACCCTCAACAGAAAAATACCTAGGGGAGGTTGGGGAGAGAGGGTCCATTGCATTTGGTGGGACTTAAACCTAGTTCGTACCTACCTCTTGAAAAAATTTTGGCGCCAAAATGCTCTTTGCCTTTATTGCCCCCATGCCAATTGGACGAGGGTGGTTATATATTTTTGGGTTTATTTATTATATGTTCTTAGGGTACAAAATAAGAAATAATAATTATATAATTATTATAAATTTTTATCATAAAAGTAGTAAAGTTGACTTTTGTTTCAATTATGAATGTCATATGTTAATTTTTATTTGTTTATTTTAAAATTAAAATTAAAATTTATTTTTTTAATTTAAAATCTCATATTTTTTAAGAAAAAAAGTGATACTTATTAATTAACAATTGTTTTTTATTTTATATCCTAAAGATACAGGTTAGATAAACCCAATATTTTTATAAAGGTAAGATGAAAAACCACAATAAGGGAAGAGCAAAATTGTAAATCAATTGCATTTGGTATGAGAAGCAATTTTCATTATTTATGGCTCACGGGAAAAGTCATGGATTCAGTTCACCTAGACAATTTAATACACATTATGTAATATTCTCATTTCATTTTCTACAACACTTTAATTGGCCTAGCTACCATCATATCCATATCAAATGCTCTTTGGGCCTCTTCTCTTCTCATTTTCATTTCAAGGTAGATTAATTGAAAACAGTTTTCTAAAATTTATGTGCACATTATTTATTTTGTTAATAAAAAGAAATCTTATAAATATCAAGACATGCAAAACCATAAATTTTATGTACACACCATTTCAATTAGTTGTATTAAGGTTAGTATTTGCAATAAAGTGTTTTAAGTCGACTTTTACATATATTAAAGGAAAATGATTTATGAATAATTTTTTTGTATTATTTTTTTGTACAATTTTAAATATCATTTAAATGATCAATTTTTTTTATTCATTTAAAACTTATAATATTAAATGTATCTATTCATTTAATGACATATGAAAATTGTATAAAAAAATATAAAAAAATAGTTTCTACATCATTACCTTATATTAAAACAATTTTTTTAAATATCTTTAAAACACTTCATATTAGTGTAGTATATTTAAAAATTAATTTCTTTTATTATTAACTCTAAAATTTGAAATCTAAACCTAAATCAAAATGAGTAGACAATACTCGTGATCCAAACCATTACAGTTACTAATTTTTTTTTTTTCTCTCTAATTTCACGGTAAACAGTGGTTTTTCTACGTCCTCACTTTTCCCTCCAGAACCACAAACAAAAAGGAGAAAAAGTGGGGGAGAAAGAGAGGAAATCAAGGAACAGTAAAGAGAGGATCAAGCACTGTACGTTACTTTATTTAAAGGTGAATCAATTCCAATACATTACTGATGATTCAGCATCTCCCAATATAATAACAAGTTAACAACCACCCTTGACACAAATACAGACAGCTGTGGCTGTGGAGCTTTCCTTTATGCTTTGCTCATCGTAGGGCCGCTCCTCTCTATCCGCACTCTTCACTCCACCCCACGAGAAAATCCCAACTCCCGCCTTCCCGCTTCTTCAAAAAAATCCACACCCAATATGGTCCAAAGTAGAAGGATAAAGTAAAGGGGTACGTGGGTTTTGTTTGATATAGAAGGAGAGATAGGGAAAGGGTGTGAGTCAATAGTGGAGACTGGAGGGTGAGATATGCAGAGGTGATGGACACCCCTCAGAAGACCCAGATCAGTAGTACTTCACTCTCTAAATTTGAGGTAATGTTGCTCTTGATCTCTGAAAGTTTCATTTTTGTTGAGTGAATTTGGGGTTTTCTTTGTGGGTTGTGAAGAGGGTCTCTGGTCTGGTTGCTCTGTGTTTCACTGCATGTGCTTGGATTTGGTTTTTGTTCAGTAGTTGACCTTGGCATTTCTGGGTTTTGGGTGGGATTCGGGTTTAGGTTGTTAAATTGGATGCCTTTCTTTGTAATTCTGGGAAGTGAGTGTCCTGTGGGCTTTGGTTACTTGCAAGTTAGATTTGTTATGCAGTTCAAATGGTCATTTCCGTTTTCTGGGTTGTGGGATACTCTTACTTTGGAGTTCATAGTGTTTTTCTTGTCCATGGTGGCTACAATTGATTTTTTCACTTAGTTGGCTCTCATACATTAGAGAATATTCATTCTTCCCTCAAATTTCATCATTTTGTCTCTAGATTTTGATGGTAATTTTGTTCAGAATTTTCATCTAGTTTTGCTTTTCAAAGAGTTTGCAATTAGCATCTGCAGTGTTTGTGAAACCATCATGAGGTAACATATGCCAAGATGTTGCTTTCATCTGGCTTTTATTTTCATGTTTTGTTTGGAGATTTTTAATGTTCGCTTCTGAACAAGTTGCTGGTTAAAAGATGTTTTGTAGGTATCTAGTTTTATACCTGAATCAGTTTACATGTTACTTTTAAAACATCTTTCATAACCTAAGAAGAGTTCTTCCCCATTTTCTGCAGGATTCCCCCATCTTTAACTATATCAACAGCCTTTCTCCAATCAAGCCAGTCAAGTCCATACACATTACTCAAACATTCAATCCACTAAGTTTTGCGTCTCTTCCACCTATTTTCACTTCACCCCATGTGAGCGCTCACAAGGAATCTAGATTCCCTAAAAGGTAATTTGCTAGAATCCTTGATCAGCTTGTGTGGTGGCTGTGATATCTACTATATTGTTTTCTTTTCAACCTAGTTGCTTTAAATCTACTTAATCTTTTCTTCCAGGAATAATCGTACAGATCCATCAAAAACTGATTCTGAAGAGGGCAACAAGGCAAGTACTGAGGAAGAGGTTGATATTGATGCTGCTCAGCTCTGTGATAACTCAGCTGGGCTACAGGAAAGTTTTGATCCTGGAGTTTCTATTGGAGAAGCTTCTCTCGAGCTTACCAATGAATCTTCTAAGTTTGTAATTGAGCTCCCAAGAACCTTAAAATATGATTGTGGTAGTCCCAACTGTGACCCAGTGCCTTATGCTACTGAGGCAAAGTGTGGCTCAGAGTTGGGTTGCACTTCAGTCTCAGTTGTTCCACTTGCACATGATACTTCTGAAAAAGATGTATCTGAAAATGGAGTTGATTTAGCTAGCATATGCCAGACTGAGGAAAAAAGGGAAACTACTGGATGTGACTGGGGGAGTTTGATATCTGATGCTGCTGATCTACTAATTTTCAGTTCCCCCAATGATTCGGAGGCTTTTAGGGGTCTTTTTCACAAATCTTTGGAGTCAAGTTCTAGATTTTGTACATCTCTTGTTTCTCACTTCCCGCAAACAATTGAACAGAAGGAACATCCTTCCCTGCAAACTGAAGAGGCTGGTGAGCTAATGACAGGAAGCCAGACACAGGGCAATGTTGAACATCAGTGCACAGCAAGCAGCCCCACTGATAAAGTAGATAACGAGGTGTGCACTTGATTTTGTTTTTATTATCAGTGTTCATGCTATTAAATAGTCTGTCCATTACACTATTGATATTCAGTATTTGTTAGAAATTCTCTTGTGGTTATTTTTTGGAAAATATGGTCATTCTTTTGTTTTATCCTAACTGGTAATATGAAAATCATTCTGAATGAACTGATATCACTGAAAGTGTTTCAATATGTTTTTGTACACAGTCTGTTTCTAACTTGTATCGTGGAATAAGAAGGCGCTGTCTGGACTTTGAGACACTGGGAGCGCGGAGGAAAAACTTAGATGATGATGGTTCAAATAGTAATTCTTCTGTAGACAAACAGTTGGTTCCTATGAAGCCTAGAAATGAGTCTTCTCGATGCATTTTACCAGGCATTGGTTTGCACTTAAATGCTCTTGCAGTTGCGGCCAGGGATAACAAAAAAATAAAGCATGAAACTTTATCTTCTGGGAGGCAAAAAATAAGTATTCCAAGCTCCACTGCTTCCATTCTTCCTCTTACAACTGGCCAGGAAGCTGTCTGTGAATCTTTGACTTCAGCATCGGCTGAAAGAGAAATGGACCCTACTGAAAATGGGATTCAACTTGCAGAGGATGCTTCTCTGGCATCTCCGGACTTAGCTAATGAAGATTTAAATCAGAATAGTCCCAAAAAGAAGAGGCATGTGAACTTGACAATATGTAATTTATGGGACTTACTGCATTGTATCCTTCTGTCTTCTCCTTATTCTTCTCATCATGATTGTGAATTGGATTTTCAGGCGGAAGTCAGAATCTGCTGGAGAAGGTGAGGCTTGTAAGCGTTGCAACTGCAAGAAATCTAAGTGTTTGAAACTGTAAGTTTGTGTTTGAATTTGGTCCATGTTTCTACTTTCTTTTCAGGACATCTTCTTTAGTACATTAAAATGGATACTGAGTACATTTCCTTTGGTACATTAAAATGTTGGTTTGTTTCACATGTTCTCTCTTTATTTTATAGGGAACAAATGAACCAGAAAAGATAGCGTCTTTTATATTTTTCTCACAAATATACTCTCTAATTAAATTTCTAAAATTCGTAGATACTGTGAATGCTTCGCTGCTGGCGTGTACTGCATAGAACCATGTTCCTGTCAAGATTGCTTCAATAAGCCGATACATGAAGATACAGTTCTCGCAACTCGCAAACAGATAGAGTCTCGCAACCCTCTTGCCTTTGCTCCCAAAGTGATTAGGAGCTCTGATTCTATATCTGAAATTGGGGTTAGAAACAATTCAGCCGTTCCTCTATCTAGTTAATAATTGTGAAGTCCACATAGCCTGAATTCTGTTTCCACTTGCAGGATGAATCCAGTAAAACTCCAGCTTCAGCACGACATAAAAGAGGATGCAATTGCAAGAAATCAAATTGCCTTAAGAAATATTGTGAATGCTATCAGGTTTTTTCCCGCAGCATGTTCTTTATGCTTTTGATATTCTTTGTAAACTGAACCAGGAACCTCGGTTTTCTTTTGAAGGGTGGTGTCGGATGCTCCATCAGCTGCAGATGTGAAGGATGTAAGAATGCGTTTGGAAGAAAAGATGGTTAGTGCAACCATGTGCTGACATGATACAATAATGCATTCTACATTTCTACTATTGGAGTCAGTCTGAGCTTTCAGTTCCAACAAAATTTAAAAACTATTCAATTCTGCAAGCTGATATTTTCCATAATTCCTCTGAAATCCAGGATCTGCTATAGTGGATACTGAAGAAGAACCAGAAGAAGAAACAGAGACACACGAAAAGAATGGGTTGGACTTGGATAAAACGTCACACAAACCTCAAATCTTGAATGAAGAAGAGCAGCAAAATCCAGTTTCTGCCCTCCCAACTACTCCACTACAGCTTTGCAGGTCTTTATTCGCAAACTATGTGTTATCTTTTGAACCAAAAATCTAATGTTACAAGAACCATTACAATTCTTGCTTCATCCTGCCAGACCATTGGTTCCATTACCATTTTCATCAAAGGGTAAACCACCAAGGTCATTTATGACAGTTGGATCATCATCTGGGTTGCTTAATGGCCAAAGATACGCAAAAGCTAACACTCTACGCCCTCAAAACAAGTCTGAGAAACAATTCCAAACTGTTCAAGAAGACGAAATGCCCGAGATTCTGCGAGCCAATTTCTCCCCTGGTGCTGGCATCAAGACGACTTCTCCTAACAGCAAGAGGATCTCTCCCCCTCACTGTGAGTTGGGGTCGTCGTCCCCTAGTCGTAGGAGTGGCCGGAAGCTCATATTGCAATCCATACCATCATTCCCTTCCTTGACTCAGCATTGAAATGAAAACTTCTCTCAAGTTTTCAAATAAATTTTTTTTTTCTCTAATCTATGTTGCATTGAGGGTTATGTTCATGTAAATTTCATTTCCATAGTTGTAAAATAAGAATGAAAATCAAGCTCCATAATGTTCAACCACTCTTGTATGATATATTATTCTATCTTTATTTCCCATTTTTGTAAAGTAAATTATTTAGAAATAGAATTCTTTTAGATCCTTAAATGCATAAATTGGTGAATATGTTAGCCTTTTAAAAAAATAATTACTAAAAAAGTGATAATAATTGTTCGAGTAAAGGCTTATTTATATATAAATTTGATATATTGTATTTATGTAAAATTTAAAATACTAATTTTTTCATTTTCAATAGTTGAAATTTATTATAATTTTTTAAATAAAAATAATAATTATATTTAATAAACATAAATAAATGTGTAAGTATAATATGTAAAATTTATATATAAGTGGATTTTTCTTCTAATTCTTTACTTTCTCTGCCTTGAAATAATTATTTTTTTAATTTTTTTAAATTAAGGATTTTAAAAAAATTCATGTATTTATTTATATTACCTTTAGAGAAAAAAGTTAAAAAATAAAGTAAGACCTTTTGTGATAGAATAATTCATCAAAATAAATAGATAATAATAAAATTAAAATAGAAAAAAATATTTTTTTATTCTAAAAAATTAAAAAATGATAATTTGAGACATTCGAAATTAAAAAAAGATAATTTAAACTAGAGTGAGCCATATTAGAGGCTCTTTCTTTATTTAATAATTTTTATTTAATAATTTAACATAATGTGAGTTACAAAGTAGGAAATTTATTTGTATTTGTATTTTTATTTTTATTAAAAAAAAAGTAGCACTTCTGGAAAGACGTTGCAGATTTGCCTAATTATGAGTTCTTGACATCTTGTCATGGAGCTAGGCCCAAAAGGGCTTTTGAAAAGAAATACAGATTAGGCCCATTTTAACTGTTTAAAGAATTTTTATTGTATTGTTGAATGACCCAGCTGGGCCTTGATTGTCTGGAATTTCCCACAGTCTGGCCCTCTCCCGTTTGGGTTTAGTGCTTGTTTATTCCAAAATATCCTAAACAGCCCTCAAAGAATAAATTTGAGAACAAATTTGATCCAGAGACAAATACATTAACGATTCAATATTTTTTTTTTAAAAAAAAGTCATTAACGATTCAGTCACCATATTATGGGAAGGGAAATGATTTTGAAATAGTATTTTTGTTTCATTTTTTTATACAATCTAATGTATCATTTAAATAATTGGTTCTTTTTATTCATGTAAGTTTTATGATATTAAACACATTTACTCATTTAATGACATATAAAAGTTGTATTAAAAAATAATATAAAAAATTATTTTTATAACACTACCTTTATAAAAACGGTATCAGTCAAGTCGCTTTGTTAAAATTCCATCTTGATAGAGCTTAGAGCAGATCTTGTAGTTAAGGCTGTTAACAATCAAAAATTAAAAAATTCAAGTTAAAAATTTTAAATATTTTGATAATATTTGAAATATGTCTATTCATATATCTATATATATTTACTTATTTAATAACATATTATTATTATAAATATAATATTATAATTAAAGTATTATCGGATCTTTTGTGATAGGAATGAATCTGAGTTTGACCATGACTATATATATTGCTAATAATTACAATTATTTTCAACATGGGATCGGAGGGGTCATGCGATAGTAGAAAGAGGACGTAAATAATTCTTCTAATGAGTAAAGAAACTTAAGAGACGTATGACATTGGCAGTTTGGCACATGACCTTTTCCACTCATCATGGCAAATTATGTGATGCTCCTATTCTCTCCCTCTTAACTTTATAGGTTTGTTTTTTTTTGAACATGGGTTTATTAATTGGGGAGAAGCAGGATTACAAGTAGGGGGTGGGGTTTGAACCCTACACCCAAGCGAGGTGAGATCCCCTTTTTACTTTTACAATGGAGTGGTGGCCATTTGGGCAACCACGGATTCGCCTTCACTTTGATAGTTGATATCCCAAAACGCCATAAAATTGTTACTTTTTTCCCAACTCTTTTCATAATCTTTGAGGGGGCAAGGGAACAAGGTGGTGGCATAGCTGGCTACCCCACTAAAAAAATGAGAAAACAAAATCTTGATTTCTCTTTAAGTTGCAGGGTCAGATTTCATTTGCATTCTCTCCGCATTGCTTTTTTGAGACACACGAGACAACTAGTGCTTATCACTTACTATTATATAGGATTGGTGGGGTTGAAGTGTGAAATGAATAAGGGAGGCAGAGATATATGTGCTTTAGTCTTCCCACTAGCTAGATCCATTCAAAAATTTGCTCTCATCTACTTTTTTTCTTCCACCCTAATAATTTTAGAGAGAGGAACTATGTTTTTCAACATCATAATATATACGTCGGTGTCTTCTTCAAAAGATGGCAGCTTTGGTAGAGAGTAACATCAAAATGTCTTGAAAAGAATGGGAAGTAAGTGTACATTGAAATCCAACCAACTCAAGCTTTAAAGTATCCTTTTCACATGTTTTGCAAGATAAGCAATGTTTTACAAGTATTTTCTAGTATTTTCTTTTGAGACTTAAAATGGTAGAAACAGCTCTTCAAGCGTTAATTAAATGACCTATATGTATATAAATGATTTAGATGGTTCTGGTGTCTTCAAGATTTCAGGTTGTTCCCTCTCCATAACTCAATTAAAGATGGAGGGATCTATGTGGGACATATATTACATCTTGATTAATTTATATGTAAATAAAAAAATAAAAATTATGATGTCTTAACATATCAAATATCAGAGTTTTTTATGAAATTATTTAAATACTGTTAATGAATTTTTCTTGTATGTCGATTCATCAAGAATATTTAAATAATTTTATGAAGAATACTAACATTTTAATTGTTAAGATATCTTGATTTTTCACAATCTTATATCTAAAACCTTAGACCAAGTTCTCATTGACATGCCAAGAACTCTTCTTGATAATTAAAAGTCATAATAGCTAATTAATATGTTTGGTAAACCAAAAATTATGCAATAATGTATCCCTTTCTAAGTTGGTATGCCTATTCAAATCAAGATAGCGTTACCCTTTCTTCATAATTAAGGACACGTTGCTTTGGCTCCCACTTTTAGAAAAAAATTAATAAAAATAAAAAGAAGCATGTAAAGGAATGCATTAATATTTTTTCATTCACAAGTTTAATTTGAGCAGATGAGTATAACACAACTCGTTGTATATAAGATGCACTTTTCTAAGTTGAATTGAT